AGCATTGAGCCCCTTTTCGCGCAGGCGGGCATACAGCAGCTCGAGAGAGTAGAGGTGCTCGATGGGGTTGCTGTTGCTGTGTGTGGGGATTGCAAAGTCGAACATCTTCCGCATCAAGGCCTGTTTTGACCCCTGTGACTCCGGATCGTAGACCTTTTCCAATTCCGCAAGGACCTCTTTCGCTGACGTACAGTTGCTGATAATTGCTTTGTCAGCTTCTTTTACCACAGCAGTAGTGATAAAGTGGAACGCCTGAAGCCCCCGTTGGACTTCTGCTCTCGTGTACCCCCTACGGAGCAGTTCGGAAGTCGGCAAGTTTGGGTCGCCCACGGGGATACTGCTCTCTGCATCTCCTATAAACAGCCCGTCCAAGTCGATGGTCTTCGCAGCTTGGATGAATGATTTTCGCCACGAGTCAAATCCGTGGCTACGGCTTCTTCCGTCTAGGAGCGGGGCATTGACCGTCACCCTCTTCTGGTGGCTACTGCTGTAGCCGTCCAGGTATTCTCCATTTCCTCGAATCACGGGTATCTCACCTGGGGGGTTTAACCCCCTCGCTTCCCCGTAGTCCGGTCCTATGCCCGGGCCCACTCCGGCTGGTCCAACAGGGTTCGCTCCCGATCTGCTGGCCCAGCCGCCTTCCAGCAGCGACCGTGGTCCTTGCCCACTATCTCTCGTTTGCTGCTGGAGAAATCCCCCGCCACCGCCGAGCGGCAGCGTGGGCTCTTCTCGTTGGCCTCTGGGGGCAGCAACCCAGCCACCCCTACTGGCTGCATCCGCCACGACGCTGCCAGGCTCCTTCTTCTTCACCGACTCCTCCACCAGGGCCGCCAATTGCGAAATCTGCCGTTGCAAACTTGCAAGCTCCGCGTCGCGGCCCTCCTGCACTGGCGGGCGGATCTGTTCTCCGCTCGCAGCAGCGCGCTCTTCGTCTCCAGCAGAGCTCATCCCGATGTGGCTTCCCTCGAGGGGCAAAACTCTAGAGTGTTTGCGGCCTACGCCACTTATTTATCGGGTGAGACTGTTTTGGTGATGTATTAACTTCACGGGAGGTAGACGACCGTCCTTCACACGGACGAAAGAGGGAGTGCTCAAAGAGCGGCTCCCACAGCAAGGAGGGGCCCCGTGAATCATCGCGGTGCCCCCTATCAAACGGTTACCTTACCAGTCTGCGTGGCACAAAATCATCCAGCACATGTATCCAACAACAATGTTCGCAGACCCACGAACAACGGCCCTGGTTGATGTGCACACGACGCAATAAGGGCCATGGGCATGTGCCTGGGTTGCATCTAACGGGCGACATTGAAGTTTGCTTCGGTCAAGCTCTGTGCTTATCATGGATCAAATGCCATGCGATCAACGCTACTCCCAAACGTATCACGAACGACCCCCATACCCTTTCGTTCACGTTTGCTGCACCTTGTCTGCGAACATCAGGAAAAGCAAGCGAGGCCTACCTAGGCAGGGCAGACCGACCGGTGAAACGCTGTGAGCTCCTGTCACCCCTATCACGCAAAAGGCACCCTATATGCCTTGCTTGATGGAACATGAAACCGTGGGACGGTCACCATGCCTAGGTTTATCCAGACGCTTAGGGCAGCCTCGTGTTGTTCGTGGGTTGGATGTGTAGGGTCTGCTACTCACTTTAGGCTGTTGTCGTTGTAGGTGACGTGTTGGCTTGTTTGAATTGTGTGATTCTCGAGAATAGAGCTTAATGTTGACATTGTACGTGGGGAGAAACCTTTTGGAATGATAGAAAATGAAACCTTGGGGCTGCCGATTGGCTCTTAGTAGGGAAGTTACTCGCCTTGTCGTTCAGTAGTACTTGGATGATAGTGGAGGGCGCCCGTCCTTGAAAATGCTACAGCATGGAGCATGTATAGGTGAAACTGCAAAGACAAACTCTTCTTGCTTATTTGTACGAGGTGGGCATGTTCGATCTGATCGACGGGGAGCGTTTGCTTGAGTTTGGCTGGCGGTGCAAAGCTGCGCAACATGCCGTTTCGGATGGAAACAGCGTCAGGTTAGGGACGTCACATGGGACATCCCATCGGCACATGGGCGCCCCATGTGCATCCATGGCCCGTTCCGCGCGTCCCACGAGCGGGGCACAAACACATCAATGGGACGCCTGGGGCTACCCGGTGTTATCATATCCGCGACGATGCTGATGGGCATTGTGTTGGGCGTCCCCGCGTGTCCCATGGGACGCACCGGAAGCAGGACGTCCCATGGGAGCATGGGCTCGTCGCTTGGGACGGTCTATCAGGCGGAGAAGGACTATTCTTTTTGTAGGACCATCCATGGGACGCGTGGGACGACCCATGAGACGTACGTGGAACGCCGAAGGGACGGCCGACGCCCCACATGGACATCCCAAGAGAAACCCCATCACAGTAAGGAATCTAACGGCCGTGTTCCAGTCGAGTCGAGGGCGATCAAGGTCGTTGGGGCTACCACGTCGTTGCTCTCTCCTCCAACCCCTACGTCATCGATCGATTCAAAGACAGCCATAAGCGCATACCGCATGTTTGCGGCCTGGTTTTCGGCCTTGCAACTCATTGATCGAATGAGACTTGTTTCGGTGATGTATTAACTTCACGAGATTTTCTCCACCTAGGACGGACAAGGGAGTGCTCCACAGAGCAGCTCTAACACCAAGAAGCGGCCTCGTGCTTCATCGCGGTGCCTTCTAGCGAACAGCAATCTCACCAAATCTACGTGACACGAAGCCATACAGCAGATGTATTCAAATATCCATAGATCTACGAACACCCTCCCTGGTTCTTCACGCTAGTGACTAACCATCAATAGGGCAAGCACGCCCCGGATACCCAGAAAAATGCCAATACGGTAATATATGGAGGGGAAACCCGGCGTCCGGGCAAAAACCCTCAAAAACCCTGACCACCACAATAACCGCTGCTATCACGGCGGATGTACAACGGCCGCACTTACTAGACAGGGCAAGGCGAGGACAAGAATACCAGAGATCGCGAGGAGCTACGTTCCCCCGGACGAAGGTCTCCCAACGCCCCCTACTCCTGCCATAGTAACGCAGACCGCGACAGTAATGCCAGATGGCAGTGTCTTTCCCCGCATGATATACATGACCTATCCCAAGTGCTAAAGACTGCTAGCGCTACTCCGGCAGATTTCATCAACTTGCGCCGGTAGTACTGCAGACTGGCCTGGTAAGGGGCTTCGGTCAGAACGAACTTGACCAAAAAATCTCACGATCTAAACCACCAGCGAATAAAGTGAAACCTCACGTCGATGTGTTTGGTACGACTCGAGCTGAGGGGATTCTGCACCGACGCCATGGCCCCCCCGTTGTCCTCAAGGACCAGAATGCTGCTGCCACTGGTTTCTGGGGCAACACAGCGCTCACGAACCACGTCCACTTGGCGCCCTCCCCGGCAGCAATGTACTCAACTTCGATCGAAGATAACGACACCGGAGCCACGGGTGGGAGGTGTCCCCCCTCTAGGCTAACGACGATTACGGAAATGTGGATGTCCCCATGGGGTGGGCCGCGCAGCTGTGCGCGCTGCCCATGTGGATCACCTCCGTCAACTACGTCCGCCGCCGCTGGTACAGACTGTTCAAGGCCAGCCACTGGCTGTTCATCGGCGTCTTCATCTTCGTGGCGCTGCACTCGAGTGTCGTGATATCGCCCTTTTCCCCCTTGTTCCTTCGGCGAACCATTCACTCGAGAGTGAGTGCGCTCTTTTCAACGCCCTGCCGGAACGTGTAGTTGTGGACCGCACAGGAAGATGTGGAGCAGAGTCCCCGGTGGGATGACCCCTCCTGTTTCCGAACAAGCTTCTTCATAGATTCCGAGTCATTCGTTTCCCCAAAATGACGGACCACAGCAGTCCTGACGAATAGTCGAGGCATGCATCGTGGCCCACCATGATTGCGCGCTACCCGAGCTGCCGTAAAACTGCGAGCGAAGGCACGCACCGGTGCGATAGGTTTTTAATCATTTTTGCCCTTGGCTTGTTTCAGCATCTATAACTTGCGGCATGTACGTCATTGAATAAAACACGGCACCCTAAACGACGACTGCCTGCGTGGGGTTTTGCGCAAACCCTTGCGAGGACGTTCATCCATGTATTGTATCGCTCAGTCGGATATATTTTGGAATTGGTTGTCGAATTCCCGCGAAACCCAACCTCTCTTCCCGCCGCGAGTGATTTTCATTCCGGTCGTGTACCGGTCGTTGTTGTTCCCCGTGATGTCCCTGCCGCTGCTCTCCGAAACAAGTGGGACACCAACGCTATCTACTTCGGCGGAGGTCTGGCGTTGTACACCATGCATGTCATGTCAAGGCTTTCTGCGTGGAGAAGGCGATCATGTGCGGTGCTACTGCTATCAAACATGCACTGTTGGACGGCGTTTTGTTTGTATTCTTGGGTATCTCCCTATACGATTCATCAGACTCAACTCCAACCGCGGGGGTTCTGCGAGTGGAAGTTTCGTCCTTTGGTTTTATCAAGGGTTGTGTCGGTATCGGTCAATTTAGGCGGAAACAAGCAGGGCGGCAGTGCGTTGCGGCCGTAGTTGTTTCCCGTGGTAGTCGGTTTCACTTTTGTTGGAGGTACGCGCTTTGGAGCAGGCGGTATCACCTGAATAATGGGTGCCCGTTTTCGACGGTAATGCCATGTGGCAGAAATGGTTTGGTGACGGTAGGCGGTATGGCATTTGTCGGCGTTAAACATTTTCGTGGTGGTAGTAAACCCAAAAACAGGCGGCCAACTGTTGCAGGGCGATATCTGCACGGCGGCGGTATGAATAGAAGTTCCGACATTATCATGGTTTTGAATGTATCATGTGCATGGGTATCTGTGTGTGAAACTACCCATCGTTGAGATGCCCTCGCCGTCGACAACCTCTTTTCGTGCCTATGCACCACGCGTTTTCTACGGTCAGGTGGCGCTACTGGAACCGCTGTTTGAAACCTGCGGACAGCGCCAGCCCCACGAGCCTGCTCGACGTGCACACCACGGAAAACTGCACCTGCCTCGTCCTCAAGAGCCCCACGTGCGACGAGCCAGCCAGAGGAGGGTCGTTTGTCTACATCAGCGTGCCGGGTGGGCTTGGCACCGACAAAGTCTACGCCATGACCGTCTCCCTTCGCGGGAGTCCCCCCCCCCCCCCCCC